CAGGGTTCCTATTCATCGTTCTTTATGTAGGATTCAAAACTTTTAAAGGCTCCAAATTTGAGATTTTTCCAACTATAAAAAAAAAAAAAAAAAAACTAAAAGTTTCAATTCTACACCTATTTGAATAATAGCCAAATCTTATCATCCATTCTACAAATACTAAAACAGGCTTCTATCATTTCAATTGTGTGGTGTTGGTTGGTGCGGTAGAAGCATCTGGGCCAGTTTAGAAAAACTTCGGACATTTCAAATAACAAACTAAATACCCCAAACAAAATTATGGTTCTTTAAAACACATTCTGGAAACTTTAAAGCATCATCAAGTAATTTTCCAGTCACCCACCCGCTACAGGACCTTTAAAAAACTGCACTGTTGAAAACAACTCCAGTCAGTCGCGTACTCTACAGCTACAGCGTTATCACTTCCTATGCAGCTTGAAGATGCATATCGTCATGAGCAAATGTCTGAAGAGGTTGGTAGTAAGGTATAATATCTGATGTAAAATACTGTGCAGCAGATTTTTTGCAGCAATTTTTTCTTTTATGCAAGTCGGTGAAGTATAGTCTGCCTCCCAGTAAAATGTTTATTATTTGTTCTTATAACGTGATTCCGTCTCTCCATGTTCTATAGTGGAATGCTAAAAACCGATTACTCTAAAGTCACAATAGTGATGCTAACAGAGGTTTGCACATATGGTACTACAAGTCTAATAAGGGGTATAAAATACTTTTCAACCATGTTTTTGTGTTTAGTTTCACCACAGAGCAAACACCTTGCCCGAATTCACTCTTCTGAGCCCTGTCCCGTTCTGATTCTCGCTCTCTCTTTTCTCCTTCTGACAAAGGTTTTCTTTGCCTTTTTGACGCCATAAACATCGAAGGCTAGTGCAGCATTGGGTGTCTGGCAACTGATGCCAGTGGCTTTTTATTGGCTTGCTTTAAAGCTGTTCATCTAAATGCGAGTACAGATCTGCCAAACTGCCACCGGGTCAATGGCACAGAAACTTGCAGGTTTTTACACCACTAATGGGTTTTTTTTAACTACTATAGCCAGTAGCGGGAAATGACAGAGCACTCAATCGCCTAATAAAGACTTAGATTACCATCAAAGGGAGTTAAAGAAGGATAAATTGAAGCCAAAATTTTCTTAAGTGGTGCTTTAAATCTTCATTCTGTTTTTGTAAATAGATATAAATGACAGCTTTAATGTGTTGTTTTGATATATTTAAAACATGTAATGAATCAGTGAAGATTCAGTAAGTGAGAGGAAAAAAAGAAATCCAAGCACCTGGATCTGAAATTGAAAATAAAAGATGTTAGCTTAACATCAGCCAGTATAAAACAACAACATGTATTCAGCTTTATCAGCCTTTGGTAACTTAGAAGATCTTTAAATTAAAGAAAATTTTCATTCATATGTTGTTATATGTGTTTTATTTTTTTAAACCGATCCAGAATTTGACCATCATAAAATGAAATCCATAACATTCAAAGCTTAATAGTTTAATGTTTAAGAGCTTGTAATGTATTATCTTGAGGTCACTGTGTCTAAGAACTACGGAAGAGGATTAGGGCCACTGGAAAAAAAAAAAAAGTTAACTTTATTTCAGTTTAGTATGAGAAAAAAGTCAGAATTCAGAATTTTTTCTTAGAATTCTGACTTTAATCTCAGAATTCTGACTGAATTCGGACAATAAAAAAGTCAGAATTCTGAGAAAAAATTCTGAATTCTGACTTTTTTCTCATATTAAACTGAAATAAAACTTAAAAATCAGTTAACTTTTTTTTCCAGTGGCCCTAATCCTCTTCCATAAAGAACTACAGGCAGTTTTAATCCTGACATTTTTTTTCTTCTTGCGAAAAGTTTCCTTAGTTTTAAGGTGAATCGTCTTCAAGAAACAAGAAAATTAGTCTGGTTTCCCTCCATTTTAGCACTAAGAAAGAAATCCTGCTGATGCGTGTTGAACATTAGCATTCCCACAGAAACTCACGAGCGTAATGAGAAAATTAAATTGAAAAAATGAAGCTTCATCTCAAGACAACAGCCACAAAACTGAATGTAAACCCTGAGCAAACTGCAAAATTGATTATTCCAGTTCTATCAAAACAAATAGGCCCGAATTCCAATAAAATACTATGGAAATCTCATGGACCGAAACCCAAAATGTTAGCCCCACTCCATACAATTAAAAGAACGCAGACATCAGTCACTGAAGGATGTCTTTGCTTTTCCAAATGTTTAATACATGATGGGAGACAATGTCCAAAAAAGATCATATAATATGAGAGGATTGGGTCAAAGAACAGAGCAGCCTTTCTCATCAGCTTTTTTTTAACATCTCCCTTTAGTGGTAAATAAACTGCTGCTCAAACTAACTACATCATAGAAAATATATAAGGTTGTGCATATATATAAAATGTTATGCTTAAAAGTTTGTATACACTTCCATTAAAGACAGAAAATAATCAGCTACCAGTAAAATAAATTGAAATTGACAAAAGTGTTGAATGAAAATCATGACATTCATTTTGAATAAATATATTTATATGAATATAATTGAAATAATCGTCAACTAATTTAATTAATTAGTTGCTATCTCGTACATAGAGTATAGATGTTCTAAAATATGCCTTTAGCTGACAGAGTAACAAACTTAGAGCAGAATTATACCAACATTGTAAAAAAAGAAGAGGACCCGAGCTTGGAGGGAAAAAAAAGGGGGGGGAAGCCACCCGCGATGGGTGAGGAAGAGTTATAAATATAAATATATATATATATCCCTTTCTCTGGCGGTGACATCACGGTGGGGTAAGCCACCGTGATGTAGGACATTCTTCCTGCTTTACAGGCAAAATTAATGGGAACTACTACACACATCTGGAATCAACAACAATTCAGATAGCCCTTATTTTGGCGACTCCTGAGGCACTTCTGCTGTAGCTTAGATGTCCATACTGATTAAGGGCATTTGGTTTGAGCAGTGTGGTGTGTTCTGCTCCTGCTGAAGTTCCTCAACAATGTAAATAGAATCGGGTCCCGATTCAGAATTTGTGAAATGTATATAAGAAAATGTAATTGAGTAACATTTTTTTAAAGTATCGGCCATATTTAAATTTTACAATAATAAAAAAAAATGTTTCTAACTAATTAAAATTAATGCATTAAAGTCCAAGCTCTAATTTTTATTATATTGATAATTAGGGATGCACGATATAATCTGCCCCTTTTCGGTATCGGCCTGTATCGGCCTTAAAACTGAATATCGGACATCGGCCACCCCACCGATATTTAAGCCGATATTTGATCAGCTTCTGAGTTTCTAAAGTCTAAAAAAAAAAAAGTACTTCTTCTTCTTCCTCAAAAACTTATTTTTTACAGACTTAAAAACTTCTACAGATGAGGGAAAAAATATTGATACATTAAAATATCACAATATCTTCATTTGCTGATATATTGCCATTTAAAAACACCATATCAATCTCTTTTACTAATGAAATATTGCTATATGTCATTGTTATGCTTCGAAATCCCCCGAAAATTCACAAATTTTTGCCATATTTTTATATGTTGATATATTGACGCGGTATCGATCTATTTTACTAACAAAATCTCACAAGAATTTGCAAGATATCACGAGAGTTTGTAACAGAACGAGGAAATTTCACGAGATTTTGAAAGTAAAATAGATTGATACCGCGTTTTCAAAAATCAATTTGATATCAGCATATGAAAATATATTTGAGTATATTATTTTTCAAAGTGTCAGAAATGGATAACAAAACTGCTATTTTCAATGACTACTTATTTTTGTCCAGCTTTAACATAGGTATCGATATCGGTTATCGGCTACATGAGTTTTAAAATATCAGCATATCGGCCAAAATCCCAATATCGTGCATCCCTATTGATAATGAATAATTGTCCAGCTCTAAGTCCATCTATCTATCTTCAGGTCCCTAGATGTTCAGCGGTCACTGTGTGGTTGGGCAGCACCACAGAGTGACAGATAACACGGGCTCCAATATGGATTTATTACCTGAATTGAATATCGTATAAAGGACATTGATCAAGCATTTCAATGTAAACATTTCTACTTTTATTAATATTATACACAGCCATTTATCTACAGGGATCTAGTGGCTTCAAATTTCTGATTGCAACACTGATTACATCATTGTACAGAGCACACATAGCAGCTAGTGATTATTTATATCTGTGTTCATTTGTAACCTTTTAAAAAAAAAGTATTTATCATGATGCATTTACTCACATGGCAAAGAATAGAGTTATTCATTTAACAGTAGTATTGGATCGGCTTCGGCCAAAACGCTCAGCTCCTGTATATGCATCTAATTGGGTGGGGAAAAAATGGTTCATGCTTCTCTATTTTCCATTATTCCCCTGCTCAACATGGTTCCACTGGCACCAATAAATTAGGGATGAAACAATAATCGGATGAATCATGATTAATCGTAGGCTGATAAACCAGACTGAATGAGCTGTTAAATGTGTAATTTAGTCTGGCCCCGAGGAATGAGACATCGGAAGACTGTTGATGAGAACAACACGTTGTCTTTCAAACCATGTCTGTGCCTATTGGCCAACGCTCTGACCAATGAGCGCAACTGACTGTGACATAGGGAGTGCGACAGAAAGCTGGTGGGGGGGTGTAAAGAAACAGCCTGTCGGTAAAACTGAGAATACGTCTTTCTTAAAAATTAATGAGCGTAGAGCCTCTTCCTGCTCATGTTTCAATAAAAATAAAAAAAAACAAGTCTAATCCTTCCAAAATTGATTCCAAAGTTGAGTGAAATGAGAACGGTTCAATAGTTGTTGCCATCTTCCTTGTTGTGCTTTGTGCAGTGTCGCACAGCTTTGTCATCCCGCCCTCAAAACCCTGCCTGCTTTGCATCCAGAAATTCAAAACACATCTCTGCATTGTGATTGGCCGGCCAATTCTAGGGCCTGGGGCATTGATCGAGGCTAAACCACTCGCAGGCAAAAATTATTTTGGCCGCTGGCTGGTGGGGTTAGTTTATTAGGCTAGATTAATCGATTAATTGTTATCTGTAGTATAGAGACTCAAAAACATGCCTTTAGCTGACAGAGCAACCTACTTATACAGGGATAGTGAAAAAATATATAAATATTTTGCTTTTAAGATCAAATAAAAACCCATTTCTCCTGTCAATATGCTCTAACCAGAACTCCACAAGGGTAGAATGTTTTTCACCTTGTTTAATTTTGTGAAAAAAACGTCTTTAAGGAACCTTTCGCTATGCGATTATTAGACTTAGACAACTTTTGTTGTTTTTTGGGGAAAACAATTTCGTTTTGTACAGTTTTCCTAACATTTCCGTTCCTTAGTGCAGCGATTAATCGATTAATCTAAAATATAATTTACAGATTAATTGATTATCAAAATAATAATTTGCAGCCTTACAATAAATACAGAATTTCTACAAACATCTTCTCCTCATTCTGTAAATCAGATAAATTGTTTTATCCCTAATTTACTTAAAACAAGAAGTGAGAAAATGTTGTCATTTACCTTTTTTTTATGCACGATGCACGAGAATATGTATGTGTATTCATAAACTATTTTACCCTGTCCTCAGAAAAAAAAAACTACGAATTAGAACGGCAGATGTTTAATTATTTGTGCCTGGAACTGAATAACTGGGGCCTGGATCGCTTAAAATCAGCTGCTCCGGAGCGGAAGCAGCGAATCATATTTTCTACGGATGTGGTCAAAGACCTTTTTTTCTGCGTATCATGGCAGACAACAACAATTTACAACTATATATCATCGATAAACCATTTTTGGAGCATTACAATCACGATAAAACATTGTCATACATGTAGGTGGAAATAAGCCTCGCGTTCGCGATCAGAAGGGGGCGTGTCTTTGTTTACTTCCGACAGCGAGGGTCTTCTACCAGCTGACCACAGGCAATACAAACACATGAATTTTCATTCAGATATTTAACAGCTTTTTTCCCTTTCTTTAACCCGATAATATCTACACAAATAGCTGAGTGCTCTTTGGTGACTGAAGTAGGTTCATTCAGAGAGAAGCTAAACCTTGGTTAGCATCGTTAGCATACTACGGTTCGGTTTCCAGTATATAAAACAAACCGACATAAAAAAGCGCTGCGAAGCGGAAGGTAGTTCTTCACATCATCAGTCTATCAGGTAACGGTGAGTGTATCGCTTACCCGTGGGCTGTTAATGGGGACATAGACTCAATGCCGTCCATCAGCTAACCTTAGCATCACACAAAACTTTGGAAACTGGAGTTCGGCGCTTCCCACTGACGTCACAGTCTCCTTCTTTTCAAAAGCCAATAGGAGCAGGAGTTCAGAAACGGCGTTGAAGGTTTGACCAATCCGGACTCCCGGATGTGTGTGTGGGTGTGTGTGCGACCCTTTGGGTTTATCCTGATTTCATCTGATGGAGAGAGAAAAAAATAACATCTTCTTATAGGGCTATCAGTCTTTTATTAATTCATTCTATATACTCTGTGTTGATAAGTTTGTTTCAGTGATAATATATTATGATCTCTAGAGGTTTAAATTACTGACACTATCCAGTTAGAGTAATTATAATAGCAACTGTGAAAGAATGTTTCTGTAAGTTTGTTAATAGTGGAGGACACAGACACTATGAGCCAGATGGGGTATGACTGGAACCAGAAGGAGGAGACTGCAGAGCTGCCTGGGGGGGAAGAGATGAATAATCCCAAGAAGTGTGGAAAAGAAGGCCCCTGCTGCTCTGGCAAGTACCAAGGAACATTTCTCCTAATATGTGCGCTGCAGAGTCTGGGGAGCTGATGGGAACAGAAGCCGGCAGGTGATTTGTGCCCTTTGTGCCGAGAATAATCCGGACACCTTGCGGCTAATGGTGAGGCAGATGTCATCCTCAGAGAGCCTGCAGTTTCAGCAGGAACGGGTCACTCTTCTAGATCTATAAGACTAGAGTAAATGTCTTAGTGTCTGGCAATGAACTTTAGCACATTTCAATAATGTTTATTTTCCTCCTACATGACAAGAAAAGCTACATAATGCATGGGGTTAAAGAGGGACCCATCCAACAAAGATCCAATTTGTCATCAATATCGTTACACTCTCAGACCTTAAAGGTTGTTTTTTTTAACTTAAGAGCTTTACAGTTTTACTAAGATATTTGTGATGAAAATAAATTCAGCCCCAACATTTTGCAGAAGCAATAACACTTCTCTGTACAATCTTTCTGACAGGATCCTAATTAATTTACAGATTTATTGGGAATCGGTGGCTTTAGATAGGAAACCACCTTCCTGTTTGTCATTTTGATGCAATAAATCTTTAACCATGCACTTGTCTGTACTAACAGAGCTATGCAGAATAAAAATTCAGGATCAGTTTGCTTACTTCTCTTCCGAAGTTACCCTGTTATTATCTTAAAATGTACTGGATTGTTTCATTTTGAATTTGGAGCTATAGCTGGATACGAATCATGTCTTTTTATCTTATTAGTTACTTTGAGATTATAACTTATGTATTTGGCACTATATCAACTAAACTGAATCCAATGCTTTTCATACTGGTTGAAGTGCTTAGTAACAGCAGCAGGGGACACTGATGGGAGCTGAAGCAAAGCGCTGTAGCTACAGACATCCTGCTGGTGGTGGAGTATCAGGTTTGCTGTGCTTCACTGGTCCGCAGGAGGCATTTAATCTTGCTGATTGCACTTTAAGAGTTAACTTGTGTCAGTAGGCGAGTACTTAAGTCATTAAGCCAGTATTCTGTTAAGTTCCAAACATAAGGATTATGAAGGACTACTACAGATGCGGAGCTCAGTTACATGTTTGAACAGGAAATATTGTCTCTCAGCTTTACGGAGGATTCCAGAGGGGGGTAAAACTTAGACTTGGCCATGGATTTAGCTGCTGGGAACAGCATTGCAGTGGGAACCCATATGCAGAACATTTGTATTTGTTACCATGGCGAACCTTCAAGTAGGATCTTTGACATTGAAAAGAAAATGCACATAACTGATGATGGTCACAATTCTATAAAGGAGCAGATTACCATGAATGGTGAAAGGGTGGAGAGATTCTGCTAATTTCTAAAAGGAATATAATCCACCCCCTTTTCTCTCCCCCTCCCTGCCACCTCCTTCTTTCTCTCTCTCCCTCTCTCTCTCTCTCTCTGAGTCCCAGCCCCTGAAGGTGTCATAACTGTGCTCTCTCTCCCTCTCTCACTCATTCCCGATCACCGCCAGATCTTTAAAAGCTGGTGCTTTGCCGTGTCTTTCTCAATCTCCATTTGTGTCCTCTGGCACTGCAGGAGGACTCAGCCGGCAAAGCACCAAGGAAACCTACTGTTTCAGGAGCAGGACGAAGACGCAGGAAAGGGGAAAAGACAGAGTGATATCCATCCAGAAATAGCATCGGCCACATTTAACTGACAGGGGGTGACAGTGTGCAGAACCTGAGACCTGGACAGAAGATGCCTCTCCTTTCTAACTTAACGGCCGTTGTGTTGCTGCTGATTGCCCACTGCGGATCGTGGGCAGGGGGAAGCCGCTGGGGCCCTTTCAAGGTCTGTCCCTCCTGCAAGGATCCTCTGGGGGCAGGCCGGCCCCCGAGGGACCATAATGTTGCCGGCAGCACGACAGTTTTGGCTCAGGGGGAGCCGTGCGGTGTGTATACCCTGAGCTGTGCCAAGGGGCTCCGCTGTGTGCCCCCGCCCAGGGAACACAGCCCCCTGCAGGCTCTGTTGCAGGGACGAGGCATTTGTGCCAAGCACATCAGAACTAGTCCCACTGAGAGGCCCCACCCCACAGGTAAGACACAAGTGCATTAAATCTCACATAGAGATGCATGCGGGCATTTAGAGGAAAGCAGATTAAGCCTGACATACAGTGTTGGTTTACAACAGATTCTACATACATTTCTCCATAATATGCACCCTCATCTAGCTCTTCCGTCTCTGTGATGCTGTGTCACCCCGAAGGAAAAAAAAGGCATCCAGTGTCTGACATTTCAAAGCTGGCAAAATTTTGTGCACCACAAGCGACTTTGCCAACCTCTGGCGTTAGGCTCCGCATCACAGCATCTCCAAAATCCACCTTCATTTAAAAAAAAAAAGAATTGTCTTTAAGATTCTTGACCCATAATTTTTTAAATCACAGGTCAGAATTACACCCTTGGTTTCAGCACCAGTCTGTTGGTGAGGATGTACGTTTTGCAGTAACACATCCACATGTATCATCCATCGCCATGCCAGGGATCATGACAGTGTGTGTGTCCTACAAGACAGCCTCTCTGTAGGGAATTAGGATGGAATGTGAAACTGTCACAGTGTCACCTACATCCTGATCAGGCTGCTATTTATTGCAGTGATCACCATCTGCTGTCCAAACTGAGACATTGCGATTAACCGGCGAGAAAAGGAAAAGTACTGATTGTAATTGGGTCTCCTGTTTAGCCGGTCACAGTTGGAGGTCCTCGGTGGACTTGTTTAGCGTGTTCTTCTGCACAACAATGCAGCAGTCCAAAGCAAAGAGTAAATTAGGATACACTGATATAATACGACTGAGATTTGGGGCTGGTTTTGGTCTAAAGGTTCTGCTGCTTTGATGATAACGTTCTCATGATGGCATTTCCTTTCCTCACAGGTCCGCATCCCTCACACTTTGGCGACCTTGAAAAAGTAAGTTTAAGCTTTGGTCTTATAAATATACCTTTAGTATTTTGAATAAATCTGTAAAATCATATGGAAATAAAAATAGAAAAAAAATGTATTTTGCAGTGCAATGCATTTCAGGCAGCTCTCCTCACAGATCCACTGCTGTTCGGGGTGTTGCAGCGGCATGTACACACACTGTTCACAAGCCATGCATTATGGTGCATGATATGTGTGCTGCTATGCGGCAGAACTAATTGAGCATGATGTGAATCGGGAAAGTTTTGACTCGGCTGCTGCAGCTGCAGATTTATCTTGACTAGAAGACCAGTGTGTATGTTTAGAAGTGATATATATGGCACCCAACAAGATGACACAGTAGCATTTCACACAAAAATGCACAGTCATTACTGTGACCTGAAAAGCTGGGGCATTGTATAACAAATTGTTATATAATGTGACATAATATGTGACATTTAATAACCATACATTCTCTGCTTCTGCCTATTACGATACATCACAGTAGCTAATCTAAAATAATTGTCTTTTTTTTAATCAAAGGGGATTTCTGAGGGGAGACAGTGGCTTGCAAATGCCACCCAGGTTCTTTCTTTGCCTCCCTGGAGCTTTTAAAGTCACCCTCTGCATTGCTGCTTTCAGGCACCCTGTCGCAAGCTGCTCAACAGTGTCCTGAGGGGTCTGGAGCTGACAGTCTTCCAGTCTGACCGCGACATCTACATTCCTAACTGTGATACCCGGGGTTTCTACAGGAAAAAGCAGGTAGAGTCTCTGACATCTCAAACAACCAGGGAACTTTTCCAGGCTTCTAGATCTATACTCCAATGGCATTTTCTGCTCAGTGTTGCACAGTAATGACCCTGAAAAATGAACACAATTGTGTCGCAGAATGAAACTGATCTATATATTTTTTGTCTTTATTTTACTCCGATCCCCCTTAATATAATCCAGAACTGGAGCATAAACTAATTCTCTGTATAAATCCAGCTGTAGTGTGAAGCCCTTCCCATCGGTGAACTCACATCAGCACCGACACCGTGGAGCATGTCAGTCAGATCAGGGTTAAAATTGCGCTGACTTTCAATTTAGGCCCTATTAACATGACAGCGATTCTTTAAAAGTTGTGGTTCCCTTTCAGTAACACATCTACATAACATTTTTTATGCAAACTCCATGATCAATAGTAGTAATATTGCCACACATTAAAAGTGGTGTAATTTCCTTACCACTGCCACTAGTAGGCGGTGTGTTCTCTGAAATGTACATGGTCTCCCTGCTTAAAAAGGTTTTAAAAAAAAGCAGCATCACCAAGAGCTTTTACTGTATGGGGAAGGTGGCTCCCCTTTGGCTTCTTCATACATGAAGGTTCTGTTATTCCTCTTTACACAACAATGAAGACGGGATGTTTTTAGAGCCACCTGCTCTAGTACCCATTTTTTAATTTTTGCCTTATTGGACAGTAGAAAAGCAACAAAACTTAAATAGAAACTTAAAAAAAAAACACAGAAAGCTTTAAACATCTAAAAAAAAAAGTCAAACCACAATTAAAAATCAACTGTGAGACATGGTAGTGGCAGCATGCTGCAAGACGCAGGGATGCTCTCCAGTCAAACTGACTGTATTGCAAAGATGAATATCACCCAGTAAATATTTTTATTTGTAAAGATTATTGTACATAAATCCAAAGTAAGGTACAAATATATAGGTACATAAATAATTCTGTGTGTCCTATCTTTTTTCTTTCCTTAAATTCCTCTTAGTGCCGCTCCTCCAAGGGCATGCAGCGTGGCCACTGTTGGTGCGTAGATGAGCTTGGCGCGCCAGTGCTTTCACATGCCAGAGAGGACGGCCCTTTACCATGCGATGGGGAGTGAGGGATGGGTCTACCCAAGTGCTCTGAGTCCGGAGAAGGAGGAGGAGGAGGTGTTGGATGGTTGGAGGAGCTGGAGCACAGGGAGGAGAGGGCGGGTGGCTTTAGCATGTGCTAGACACTGCCTGGACAGGAGGTAACAGGGATAAACCACTCCCTATGGGGGAAATACAAACACATTTGTGTCCTCTCTTTCTTTCTCTCTCTCTCTCTTGCAGCAAGATATACACTTTTAAGATCAAGCATCAGCAACAGTAACATCTGCCTGAATGTCAAACAGCTGCAGCAGCGTCCTTTGCCTCGCCTCAGTGACATGCTGCTTGCTCACATTAATGCTCAGTGAACTGCCTCAGCGATCCAAGTCGCGTTACTCCTTAAAAACAAAAGGAAAAAAAAAAGCCCCCGTATTCCCTGACTCTTGTCCTGGCTTTTCTTTGCTTTTTCTTCCTTTTTCACTTTAGGATAGCTGACACTGCCTGTGTTTGTTCTGATCTCAGTGGGCTGAAATACTGTTACGCAGGTGATGTGACACAAAGCATCTGATTAATGTGTCTCCCTCACCGTCCTCTCTTCCCCTCTCCAAAGATACACTGATATCGCCATAAATGACAGAGATATTTCTTTTTTTTATTATTATTAACTTATTTTTGAGTATGCATTGCCCATCAATTACTGCTTGGATCCTATAGTATCAAATATATATAGATATATAAAATACATGTCAAGTCAGAAAAATAATAAGCGTATGTGTCTGGATGCGTTGGTTCATTCTGACTGCTTATTGGTTGTTTCTTTGTACATATGTTGGATTTTTGTGGTCGAGTGTTTGTTCTGAAGTGGCAGACAAAAAGCTTACAGCTGTTACTCTTTTCAAAAAAAAGTTGTAAGGCATATTTTTCTACACGTCAGTATAATATTTTATAATATATATAAATATATATGAATTGTTGATTTATTTAATGAAGCTACAATACAATGCCATGTATTTTTATATTGTCAGCAGTTTTTTATTTAAATACAGAGATTATTTTATTTCATGTTGGGGGAAGGTGTTGTGCCCTAAAGACGCCTTTAGGGCCGTGATCGTCAGTTCATTCATTAGAGCTCCATTCAACTGCTGTACTTGACATGTAACAGTTATAAACAGAGGTGGGGCCAAGTTATTACTACCAAAGTTCCAAGTAATTATTGTGTCTTTGTAGTCAAATCCAAGTCCTACAGTTTATTTTCAGGTCATGCTGAGCTATGTACGGGACTTGCAGCTTGTTCAGGGTGTTCCCTACATTCTGCATGTTGGCAGCTGGTATAGGTGCACTATTTCTGACTCTCTCTCACTCTGACATTAATGAGTGCATCAAGTGATCTCAAATTAAAATTCTCAAGTCCACTCGCAACTCAGTATTCTATTTAAAGTTGAGTCTCATCTTTTCTCCTCTTCTAATCTAATCAAGTCAAGAGCCGAGTCGTCAACTAGAAGTCCGAATTTTAAACCTTACCTTCCAGGTAAAAGATTTTAACTGAGACATCCCCAAAAGTCGCAATTTGAACTTGTAAAGTCAGAGCAAAGAGACCATACCCGACTTTCACATAATCAACAGTAGTTAAACAGTCTACTTTCACTGATTTTAGCAGTCCTTTCTTATTTACTTTTCATGTAGTCCCTCCTACATAGGGCTCTCATGGTAACAAATTTTGCCGGACAATGAATTGTCCCAGAAATTTTCACAATAAACAATATTTTTTTTCGGCTCTGACTCCAAATTGCTCCATCACTGCAGCTAACATGTTCAGATTTGAAACTGCATTTTCCAAATCTAGATCCGTATTTTTCTGGCCTGCTACTCCTCAGTCACTATTACAGTGGCTACACTAAGGAAAGGATAAGGGGAGGGATGAGTGGAGACTGATGTGAGACCTTTTTGTCATCTAGACCCTTTATTAGATAGAGAGGGACACACAATAAAAAAAAACAACATACAAAGTTAATTGAGCTCATTTCAATTTGTCATGCATTTATTTATTTTTTTAAATCTTGCGATGAATTTATATATTGTTTATTATGACAGGCCTAGTCTTACGAGTACTGCTTTTAAGTGTCTTTAAGACCATATTTTTCAATGTTGTTTATATGCCCAAAACACAGTGCTAGATCAGTGTTTTTGTTATTGTTATGATTGTTGTTAAAGTGGCCATATATATTTGGAGAATAGGAACATCCACATGGGGAACACTTTGAATATTACGTCACTCTGATTTCCCTGTTTTGAGGTAAACCGAATGCACCATGAGACCATTAAAGTCATCGAGACAAAGTCCACACCTCTGTTTATAAATCATGTTTATCCTTTAATTTTTCTTATGTTTATGCTTTTTTAAAAGTGGATAAGAATAAGAATGTTAATTCTTTGTTTTATTTTTTTTTGCAAGTCATGCTGTCATTTTTGATTTCAGTAAAATAAAAGAAAAAAATTGAAAAAGGGTCTGATTTGTTAGTGTTATGGTATGTCTCTGCTGCGTCCTTGCAAAAGTCCCGAAATCTGTGTGCTACTAAAAGAAATTAATCCTGTTTCTGACCAATCTTGTTGTGCCAGTGTGTGTGCTGTGGTGATGGGTCCGTACACAGAGGGCCTGTAAAACGTTTGCAAATACAAAAATAAAACTGACAGTAAAAATGGAGAAGAATAAACATATATTAATAGAATGTGAGGTGTCAAGTGTTTTCCTTTATTATGATAGACTGAGATCTTTTTACTGATGGTGCAGCCACTGTAAAAACAGCCTCACTGCAGTCAGTTCACAGAAACTACGATAGAAGTCATGTGGCAGAGGAATAATCCAAAACATCTGTTATTCATACAAAATAATACATTTTTGTAGACATGAGTGTGCAATTAGATGTTTATATTTGACTCCTTTTTGATCAAATTAAAGTTATGAATCTACAAATACGAGCAAAACAATAAACTGAGGTAACATTGAGAGCAAAAGTATGCAGGGGAACGAGTGTCGCAATACAATAAATAAATACCTTATGAAACAATTATTTAAATGTTTTATTAAAATGGGAAAAATACAGAACTTACTTAACAAATATCTTTAATTATATGGGCCTCAGTTAAATGTATACTCCCACCATGCTAGACAGAAGCTAGCTCTCTCGTAAGCTTATTACATATATTTCAGACCAAAGTATGGATTTAGAGGCTGGATTTGCACACTATATATGTTGTAAATAAATAGCAATACATTTTCAAAGTTATCTCTGCCTTTTTCTGTAATAATGTTCACAAGACGTTTTCTTATCTTGCTTAGTGAGAAGAAACTAATCACATGTCAGGGTTTCAATGGATCGGCTCTGATCCCGCCTCCTTGACTTGGATGAATGATGACAGTTTCGATAAATTCCTAGTGTGCCTCAGCAAGGAACATGAAATAACTATATTTTCTTCATAAAATATGCCCAAATAATTTGTTATATATATATATATATATATTAGATAAAAACTGTACTTGTTTCAATTTTTAATAAATGAATGACTCATATAAATAATTATTTAATAATTTATTGAATCGTGGCACTCATCACTCTCCATACAAACGAGGGTAAAGAGTTTCTTCAATACTTTGCTGCTTTTAAAACTTGAAAACCTGTGATTGATGGAAACTCGAATGTTGCTCTTTTCCTAAAAAGGGGGTTAGAGTTTTTCCTCTAAAATCACGAGAAACATTTAACTCTTACAAGAAAAAAAGGAAAAGCTGATCATCTTTTTAAAGAGGCTAGTTAATCCTCTGAGCTGTCTTTTCCATAACAGTCAGCATACGTATGTTTCTAAATTGGACTTCACCCCTGAACTTCAGTAGAAAGCTTATGCATTGCAGTCCAGTGTTTCATAAAAAAAATATACCCAAAAAGAAACACAGTTATGCATTTTTGACAGTTGAATTTGAAAGATGACACCAGTAAGTTATCTTGGAGTATTTTCAACAACTCTGTAATAAATTTAAAGAATAAAATTTGTATTCAATATGGGTCAATTTTGAGTCCTGCCAGGATGATGGAGTTCCTGACTGCGTTTGTAAGGTTGAGTCAAACCAGCCAGAGGAAGCATATTTTAGCCAATACAGTGCAGAATCCCTTTTTCAAAATGTCAAAACCACAGGTGACAATGAGAACATATAGAACATTTAGGCTTGGTCTTGGGTTCAGCTCTTTAAGTCATGACAGAGTGAAGTCACCCCTGCATTTCTGAAGCTGATGCCCCACTCTGTCCATCTCCATACAAACATTTCTTATGTACAACGCAAACCACAAAAGTCAACAACTGCAAAAAAAAAAAACTAAAATTATTTATGGTTTCGTTAGGTTTATTCTTTATTAGTCATGTGTATTACCTATCTGTTAAGCAGATTAGATGGAGTGGACAGCCTTCCTTCACATGGTGTATCACATTATGGGTGCGGAGGCGATCTAATTAGTGCAGTCTCTTTGCTTGTTCAATACACACAGGATAATGATGCATCCCGGAGCCAGATTGATAAAGAAGAGCATATCTGTAATGCTGAGGCATAGAAGCAAGAGGCACAGAGGTCAGGGCTTGGATGGCTAAGCATCCACCTGATGCAATGTTTGGGGCTCGATTTCTGGATGCCATTGCATGTTGACAACAAGCCCACAGCTGTGTCAACTCCCTGCAATTTCTCTATCCTGTAATGATCTGATCTAGAATAACTTCTGTTAATTTTTTACTCCTGTTTTGGTAATTTTGTATATAGATTTACCAAGTCTTAAGTTAAGAATAGTTAAACCTAGTAGCTTGCTCCCAGGAAAAGAACTGGAAGGGAAGCTCCGAGGTGTAATCACCTTCAGGGGGAAATAGCTTCCTTTAAGCAGTTTGCTAAATGGTCAAATGATATCTGATTTCATAGCTTTTGAGTAAAAATGTCAGAATAATTGTATTATATCGCTCTGTGTACACTACATTGTTTTACTGTCAGAGGAACTATTCTATAATATGACATAGTTTTAAATAGTCTGCACCAAAGATGAGCAAAAAGTAGTGAAAATTATGGTTGATGTGCACTGTCGCACAAAAAAAACCCGGTTTCCAAGTGGGATACTGAAACCACACTGAGCTCATGCTGCTTTTAGGCAGTTTTTAGGTGCATAAAAGATCAATTTCTCCTGCCTGTGCAATCAGACACTAAATATGTGACCATTTCCTGTGTAACAGCATAGAATACGTCATTTGTAAATTGATTATTGGAAGGTGATACAGGGAATGAAGAAGGAAACATGATCCTTTCCTGGATGCAGAGGCGTAGCCAGAAATGTTTTATAAGGGTGGCCAGGCAATAACCAATGTACACTGAGGGGTGGCTGAAAGCGGATCGGCACCAGAACCTCTGGGTCAATATACACTGTTCCAACAGGAAAATTAAAAAGCAAAACAGCCATATTTTCTAAATAAAGACTAACTATACTTTTCTACAGTCTTTGTTAACAAATAGATGCATATATTTAAGCATCCCTAATTTCTAGATAAAAGATATGGTGGATAAAACTGAGTTTTGAGTTCTGGGGCATAAATCAATCATCATTGTCATCAATTAACTTCAAAATCAATAAACATTCTGCATAAAATGTATATTTACATGCACTAATATCTACATAAATTGATTATTTATTAAGTTTTTATTAAAATAGTTATTTACCTATGAGTTTACTGAAGACTCCTAGATGACTTGCAGAGACACATGTTTTTCTCTTAACCCCATAAAACACAAAATCTAGTTATAAAAAAGAGCATGAATTTCGTACGTATCATCTTTGATATTAGTATATTAATGTGTATAATTGACCAAAAAAATAAAAAATGTTTTGAATATTCCACTTGAGAGTATTACTGCTGCCACTGTCTGTATTAGAGAGAAAAAATGGTAGGGGTGGCCAATAATTGGCTAGAGGTGGCCATGGCCCCCTCTGAAGGGCGTAGCTTTGACCTCAACCTTGGTAGGGACACTATTGGTCTTAAGTTGAATTGGTCCGATGTCATTGGTCCTACGCATTATGCATGCTCCTATTTTTTATTTTTTTTTATGCTTGACGTGAGTGTTGAAGCGTCAGTGGCTCAGAATAATGTAAAATTGGGACAAATTAACGCTTTGAGAAGGGTAACATTTGAACTTGACTATGATGGAAGGTAAATACGTTCCTTTTTAACCAAATAGTTTAAATATATCTGTTATATGTGGATTTATCCTGTGTTTTCTTTTGAAGAAATTGAATTGTGCAGAGGTAAACAGAGGTAAAACCCACTCTTATTATTTTAATCTGATATGCTGATATTCTCTGTATTGTAAAAACAAAGCAAAATAACATATTCAAGGGACTGCAAACAGATTTATTGTATTTACATGGGCACGGGAACTATAAGGGAAACTGACAATGAGCAATTAAAATATGAACTTCAATGTACAAGTTGTGAGAAAAGAAGCGACTGCTGCAACAACACTATATTGTAAACTATAAACATGTTATTCAAATAGAATTATTGGTAGGGACAAGTAGGACGGGCCAAAAGTTTGGTAGGGACAAGTCACTATGGTCCTTTTGCAAATCTATGCCCATGCCACCCCTGGCCCCCCATCTAGCTCCACCCCATCATGTGTCCTACTTATATAGATTCAGATTTTTAATTGAGCGCTGCTGCGCATTATGATTCTGGCATACGTTATGGTTAAATGTTGGCATAAACATATTTAAATATGTGATGTATACGCATATTCCTTTTATGAACGTTTAATTAAATAGATCTTTATTGATCCTGAAGCAAAATAATAAATTGATATGTCAATTATTGTAAATACATATCAGTATTCCAAAATGACACCCTCAGAATACAATGTTTTGTCACATGTCCCAAGAGTTTACTTTCATGCGTTAACCAAAAATGCATTAAACGTGTTTGTTCCCGCCTATATGTGGGTCACCTGACCCCAACAGATTGAATATGTTTGGACACTGACAGCTGTCAGTCAAACTGAAAATAACACTGAGTGACCTAAAGGTGGCGGTGGTGGACTGTGTACTGGCTTTCGGGAGGTTAAGAGGGCAGTCTGGTTATTGTGGTTATGTATAAATGTGTACAAATTAAATGTTAAACTGCACCGTGGAAAAAAGCAGCTCGGGTTAAAACGGTCAGAGGTTTGGCGCGTGAACTTTGGTTGTCACAGTCAGCGGCGCGTGAAAGAGCTGTTGAACCATCAGGAAGAAGAAGACGCGTCACCGCCCGCTTAGAGCTCCCTCAGCAGGGGACTAGAAAACACACTGCGGCCATGGCTGCCCTCGGTAACCCGGGGACTTCTACATCCAGTCCGATGGTTGTCCTGGCGCCGAAAACGAAGACGAAGAAGAAGCACTTTGTTCAGCAGAAGGTGAAGGTGTTCCGAGCCAGTGAGCCCATTGTGAGCGTGTTCATATGGGGCGTCAATCACTCGGTGAGTCGGTGGAAGCTAACGTTTCACTCCATGCTAATCATGTCAGTGGGAATATGCTAACTCAGGTTAGCTTCGGTGTTAGCAGCAATGACAGCCTGTCGGCTCAGTTAAATAATGTTTTTGATCAATGCCTGTTTGAAATCACAATCTGTAACATTTCAGGTGCTTTGACGCGCT